AATCTCAAAGCCTTAATTATCTGAAAATTCATGATGAAAAAAAGTACTATGAACATGTTAATGAATAGTCTTTATTTAATCAAATCTTGTAATTTATGCTTTATCTTCAGGATTTTTCCATTTTAAAAATAATCAGGATAACTTTAACAAATATGTCTCCCTCACTTAATAACAGTGATTGAGTAATAAGTCTCCATTTCACATTCACTATATAGCTTGGAAGTGCTGTAATGGATACAGTTGCTACTACATTTACCATCTGACCATGTGGTATAATATACATCTGCCAAGGAGGACAGACATTCCATTACAATAACAAACAATGTAGGCATAGTCTTAAGGCATATCGACAGATATCAGTTAGACATCTTCTTTCTTTTAATTTATCCAACCATTACCATGTAGCATATATGTGTCATATATGCCAGGCATTCACTTTGACACTGAAAACTTGAAGATGTGTACAACTGAGCTCTGGCCTGGAGCAGTACACAGTCTGGCAGGGAAGGTGGTCATGTAGGCAAATGATTATCATATGATGTCATAAGTGCAACAAAGTATATACAAGGTGTCACAGCAGTGCTAGAATCAGGAATGAGGTCAGGAGACACAGAGAAGGTGGTGTTTGAATTGAGTATGAGGACTTGGTAGGAAATACAGAGTGGTGGTTAAGAGAATAGACTCTGTAGACACACTATCTGGGTTTAAATCCCAGCTCTACTGCATACCAGCAGTGGAGCCTTCAGGCATGTTATTTAGTCTCGTAAGCATGTTATTTAGGGCCTTCTCTGCAGAATAGGCATAGTCACTGGGCATCGTTCATAGGATCGAAGTGAGGATTATGTGAGTGAGTATGTATCATTGGTTTAAATTAGTCGATGGTACATGGAAAGCCCTTGGTCAGTGTTAGCAAGTATGCCAAGGATAGCAGAATGAGAGAAAGCAAGGAGTCATGAAGGAGTAGGGCACGTTTGGATTGTTAAAACTGACATCTGAGGTGCTGTGGAAGGTGGTGGGAAATGGCCAGGTGAGTGGAAAGATTATGGGGAGAAAGCCTTATAGGCCACACCATAGAGGCTCAAGTTTATGGAGCCACCGGAGTATTTTAAGGAACAAATTCAGATTTGTATTACAGAAAGACGACTCCAGAGAGGCGGGGAAAGAGTAAAGGCCAGAGTCAAGAGGCTACTGATAAGATGAGAAGAGATATGATAACAGGTTGGCTGAGGAATGGAGAGGGTAGAGTGCAGATTCAAAGTTATTTAGGAGATAAAAATGAGTTTTAGTGACCGATTAGATTAAGGAGGATGAGGTAGAAGAAGTTGTGGAGGACTCTTACATGTCTAGTTTGGATGATTTGGTAAAAAGATAGGAGGAAAAGCAGGTTTGGATTTGTCAATATTGATGGACTTCTGGAATGACCAAAATGAGCTGGAAGCCAAGATTTAGGACTTCTCAGATAAAGGCAGTAGTTGAGCCTTACCCAGTGCTCAGTGGTTAGAGCATCAGCCTGAGGACTGAAGAGTCTTGGGTTCGATTCCAGTCAAGGGCATCTCAGTTGCAGGCTTGATCCCTGGTCTCAGTCGGGGCACGTTCAAGAGGCAACCAATCAATGCGTGTCTCTCACATCGATGTTTCTTTCTGTCCCACTCCCTTCTACTCTCTCTAAAAATATCAATGGAGAGAATATCCTCTAGTGAGGATTAACAACAACGAAAAGGTAGCAGTTGACATTGTGGGAATGTGAGTGAGAGCATGACACAGGTTGTATGCAGGAAGAGATTCAGGGATGGTTCTGGAAAACCCAGCATTGAAGAGCCAGTGAGAGTTGAGTCCGCAAAGGAGAGTGCTCACAGGGGAAGGAGGAAATGTGGAAGAAAGTGGATCATGGAAAATGCTGGAGAGGAAACTTGAGGAAATGTTTAAATGCCAGAGAGAGGTCAAACAGAATGTGAACTAAGGACTGCCCGCTGGAGTTGGCAATTAGGCAAAAGCTTAAGAAAACGTATGAGCTAATATCTCAGTGAAATATAACTTCACTGAGGGAAAAGTGTAGGGAAAGCGATACAGTGACGCTTCTTCACTAAGACCCTAGCTGTAGTTGCTATCTCAGGTCACAGGCCATGGATGTGGCCCAGTGTCAGGCTTGCTGCATGAGGCACGTCTGGCCTGTCCTCACAGAGCTGATTTCCCAAAGCCTAGCAAGCAGGGTGGCTATTAGGATGTGCCCACTAAAGATCGGTGGGAAGAACGGATGAATGCCTGTGTTGGCAGAGTCCTGGGAACTCCTGATAGGTGGTTGGCTCCAGGAAGCGTTAGGAGGCCCCCAGGAGTTGCCCAAGTTCTACTGCCTTAATAAGAATTTCAAAGTCATGAAGTTATACTGTTGATCTGGTAGCTTATACCAGGTCATGTTGCGGGTGGGAGCAGGGCGTGAGAGGTGAGGGTAGTAACACCGCCACTGAGGTTGATTCTGTTCCGAAACACCTTAACTTTGGGCTGAGTCCTGGTTGTGATTTTCTGACGTTTGCTTTACTATCTCCTATTTCCTTCCTTCGTGTGTGAAAAGTGTCTCATCTCTGCAGCAGGATAGTCAGTTTCTTACGGGCAGGGACCACTCCAGAGTCGTTTGTGCCGCCTGCAGCATACGTGTCCGCTCGACCCCAGCTCGGAATCCTGGCGCCCTCCTCCTCACGAGGCTCAGAACCTAAGCCTGGACGGTTCACCCACCCTGACGCCCGCCCGTCGTCAGTGAAAAGCATGTTCATTACTTCCCAAAACGTATCCTAGGAAGGGGGAACTGATTGGGAATTTAGAGCAAACAGCTACGCTGATTCCGCAACTCCCCCCACTAGCCGCATCCAAATCGTGGGGTGCAGACCGCCCAGTCCTCCTCCTGCAACCCCAGGACCCTGCTCCCGGTCCCGCGTGGCCGCTTACGCCTGGGAAGAGCCTGCGCCACTCACTCCAGGGCAGTGCAGCTCCCGCGCGGCGGGACGGAGGTCTCCTCGGGCACGTGCACGTGGGGGACCCGATGCCGTCCAGCTACTGGACCTGGGGATGCAGGGGAGAGGCGGACGGGGGGTGAGTCTTTCACTATTTTCCGCCTCTTCTGCACGGATGGGGTGGTTTGGGATGCAGCGAGCGCCCAGTCCGATGCCTTCCAGTCGCCCCTCGCTGCACCCCTGGCCGCGACTCCCGCCTCCCGGAGCCCGTGTAGA